ACTATGATGTTAAATTGTGTACTATGATGTCAAATTGTGTACTATGATGTCAAATTGTGTACTATGATGTCAAATTGTGTACTATGATGTCAAATTGTGTACTATGATGTCAAATTGTGTACTATGATGTTAAATTGTGTACTATGATGTCAAATTGTGTACTATGATGTCAAATTGTGTACTATGATGTCAAATTGTGTACTATGATGTCAAATTGTGTACTATGATGTCAAATTGTGTACTATGATGTCAAATTGTGTACTATGATGTCAAATTGTGTACTATGATGTCAAATTGTGTACTATGATGTCAAATTGTGTACTATGATGTCAAATTGTGTACTATGATGTTAAATTGTGTACTATGATGTCAAATTGTGTACTATGATGTCAAATTATAGGTAAATTGTCTAAAAGTTCTAGTGCTGATATGAAATTTCTAAAATATTTATCACCATAGTGTGATGTCACATTTCAATGTATATGTTTAAGTTTTCAATTATATTGTCAGCAAGGTGGTCTCTGGCATCTACTGTATTTGCTCTATTAGTACCGGGGTAGTGCATTCCCAAAAGAAGTGCATGTAAACCCTAAATTGCATTTATTGTATACTGAATCATTAAAATATGACTTGTTTATAAAACACTGCTGTAGTTTATGACTTTAATAACCTTTTCACCACCAGTTTCCTCTTTTTATCACAAATTCACATAGTCCCATTTATAGTCTACACTTTTCGTCTGAAGATTGGGACAAAAATAGCCAAATTTTTTGAGTAAAATGAAAATTGACTCGGATTTTGTCTGTTGGTTCATTTCTAGAAATATTGAAGGGTATAAGAAAAATGTGCAGAAAAAGTCAAACGAAAACGGCTGGTTATGAAAAGGTTGATAAAGCAAATATGGTATTGATAATTTGTTATGTTTTTATTTCAGATGATATAGAGCTGAGTTATAACACAATGGAGGATATTGAGTATGATACCGATGAAGAGTTTGAGTTGTTGTGATCACAATATTACTGTCACCTGCTGTTTGCACTTTATATTTACAGTCTCATATGACCAAATGCTCTTCCTTATTTTACATTTATGCTATTTAGACTTCCTGTACAACTCTTTGACTTCTCTGTTTAGTCAAACCTGTATATGCATGGAGGCATCAATCCAAAGTCACTATGACCTTAGCATCGTAATCATTCTAGCCCCACTCCACAATTGTGTCAAATTTCTACTAAGGTTTTTCCCATGAACTATTTACAAAATGAGTTGTATCTTGGTAATGAGGCTATCATGTACAATATTGATGGTATGGTGTTTGTAGAAGCAAAAAAAGGCCACAAATATCTGAGTAAACTGAATACCAATCCTTAATTTGTGTGGTTAATAGTGGAATATTTCATTGCTGGTATGTTGTGTATGTTTTGACACAAAACTGATAAAACACTAAACTGCTTTACACTATTGTATGTTTTCACTTGTCAATACA